GCGTTGCGGCGCCGGGGCGGGCTCAGCTCGGGGAAGTTAAAAAAGAGATAAATAAATAAATGCGAAGAAGTTTGGGGGTTCTCTTCTTCGTTGGCGTCCTGCTGTGGCCTTGCCGGGAAAGAAAAGGTTTTTAAAAAAAATTAAGAAAAGTTTAAAAAGAAAAAAGAATTAAAAGAAATCACACACACACACACACCAAAAAACACAAACCCTGAAGCCCCTGGGAGCTGCAGGCTGCATGTGTGCTTCTGCCGGCTGCATCCTGTGGCAGTGGCAGGATGTGCAGGGGAGGCCAGGCAACACCGAGGCCTCCAAAACACACGGCAGAAAGAAGGGGGAAAGCAAAGAAACAACCAAACAACCAGGCTGAGCAGCCCCTTGGGTGCGGGAAGCGCCCTGCTATGCCCCCTACACCATTTCGGTGCCGTACGGGTGAAATGTGCTGCACTCTGCCAAAGGGAGCCCCTTCCTGCTGCTTTTGGAAATGAAGGTCACACATTGTGTTTCAGGTACACACAGTTTTCAGGAACACAGTTTAGTGGGTGTTACCTGTTAGTATTGGCTTCATATTTTCTGTATTTACTTATTTTTGTCTAGAGCTCTGTTCCCAGCTGATGGCCATTATCCTGTGCCCCAATTTGTGCTCAGTACTGAGAGCCTGTTACTCTTCACTGGGGCTATAGCTGTTCAGTTGCCAGGTAAGAAAAGAAATACCCTAGTCCGGACCCGCGCTTGTCCCTAGCTGCCTCCGGTTTAACTCACCGCCTTGGACACTTCAGTGGCCCCTGTCTGCCCTGTGCCCCCCGGGCAAGACCCTCAGCGTGAGCCCCACAGCACCCCACGGCTGCCGTGTCAGCAGGGCCACCCTCAAAATACCCCGTGTCCTGAGGCCAAGCCACCTGCCTAAGGATGCACTCCACCCTACCGAGAATGCCTAAGGAAAACAGCCTGGGGGTCACAGCGCGGGTGTGGAGGGGCAGAGCAGGCTGCTGGGGCTCTGAGCGGGCAGGTGCGTGCAGGCTTTTCTTCTTCTTTTTTTCTCCCCCTTTGATGGCCTAAATAAATGCCACAGGTTTTACTGATGGAGGAAATTCACATTTCTGATAGTGTTACATAATGAGCCTCACAAAGGGCTTGTTTCCACAGCAGCCTGTTCCTGTGACTAAATGGTAGTGTTTGGGCAGGGGGGGGACAAAAAATGAATCAGGAAGGCACCTATGTGTGAAACAATTCAGGGCCCTTACCTGTGTTTGGATTTGATTTTGATAAAAGCATGTTTTGCTGAAGTGAAGCTTTGCTTCCCCGTGCTTCACTATTGCTTGTCCTGGGGAGAAATATTGCAGGGAGCAGCTGCTTCTAATTAACCCCCTTTCCGATACCTTTTTTATTATTATTTTTTTTAATGTTCATGAACTATTGTTACTTAGACTTAAATTCTTCAGAGCAAGCACACTACCTTTCTATATTTATTTACAAAGAGTCTTCAACATTTACAGAAGGTTTGGAAAAGCTTGCCTGACCCAGGCATGGTGTTTGCATGCAGAAAACTAGACCTACAGTGTTGGATTTTCCTCTACATCTTTATTGCCCTAGAAGGGTGAGTGAGTGTTGTGCTTGCGCAGGTAAGTATTCGTGACAGTCTCACCAGACTGCATTGATGGCAGTGCCTGAGCACTAAATAATCCTTTTCTCAACAGAGGAAGACAGCCATTACCATATATTGTAATGTGCTACTGCTGATTTTCTTCTGGATATTTGCTATGCATAAGCAAGAGCACAAGCAGGAGCAATATCCTTTTTTCTTCCATCGTCTCTTATGCACCAAGGATGAGTGAATTCTTTTGATGATATTTTTCCTTTGCTTATTTACGTATTTTTACTTGTCATTTCTCTTTCTTGCCCTCTGGAGCACATGAAAGATAAATCTCTGCTTTATTTTTTAACTACTGGCACGCCACCAAAACGGTTAAAAAACACCCATAACCGTTGAGGTGGTGTTTTTGGTGATTTAAAAAAAAAAAAAAGAAGAAGAGGGAGGGACAAATTTCTGCTTCAACCTTTTATTGCGCACTCATCACCCTGCCCTGGCTGCTGCTGAGCAGCCCCTGTTGTGGCTCCCCCTGCGAGTCCTCTGCAAGTGGGATGCCCAGAGCTCCTGTGATTCCTCTTATTTTTAGCTATTCAATTCTTTGTTTGAGGTGTCCTCCTTATTTTCCAGTTTGCAGTTTGTTTGCTTGTGACAGTTTCAGGGCCCACCCAACACAATTAATAAAAAAAGGGAGCCTAATAAACAACAGGCCCAAAAAAGAGTTTTCCTCATAATCTTGCTGTAGTAAAGGGGAGGCCTGGATCAGCTCATCCTCCACGATCCTGGCATGGCTCCCCTAGGTGCATGGAAAATGGCAGTTTAGGGATACATCCTGTAGAGCTATCCCCTTTCCATGCCATGGCAGACAGCATGAATCCCACATGAAGGGATCCCTAGGGCAGGCAGGAGGCCCGGGCTCTCCGAATTCCTTGGGAGCCGGGGACAAGGCCCTCTTTGGACTGGAAGGAGGCAAGCCAAAGGATCGATTGCTTCTTTGGGGAAATTGATGGGAAGGATGGATCACACCCAGAGAATAGCCCTTGGAGGCAGAACCTGACTTGCTTTGGTGGATTTGAGGGAGGAAATGGTTATCCTGGGAGACAGCAAAGGAGAAGACTGACAAAATAGCGGGGAGTTGGCAGCCCATGGACTTACCCAGGCCAGGGAAAAGGGCTGCTGGGGAAAGAGCAAAGCTGGGCATGCCCTGGGACGCCACGTGGGCCGAGTGCAGCGAGAGCAGAGCAGGACTGCACCGTGGCATGAGGTCTGCAGCCCGGAGAAGGGAACAGCGCGGAGAAGGAAGAGCGAGGCAGGACTGCGACGTGCAGGAGGTGTCGGGGCCCTTCCCGTACCGAGGAGCCTGCTGAGCGCCGCGGCAGTCGGGGGCCGCGGGGGAGTTTTTGCAACCAGAGTAGCTGCGGGCACTGAAGTCACTCTGGAGATCCCGTTACTTGGCAGTCACTGTCGTTAGATGACTAAATGACTTTAAAGTTCAGTCTCTAGAAATTGCTAAGATGGAAAGGGCCTTTTATTTCTTAATTTTACATTATCATAAATATAGTAGGTTAATTTATATCTTGAGAAACCTTTGAAATATCTGCATGCTTCTGACATTTAAAAATTATTATTAACTGTTCTTTTTTGTAAATGATCCTGAGTCTCTGTTTGGATTTGATAAGCACATCTGCGTGATTTACAGTGGGAAGAAAGATAGTTTCCCTCCTCAGTGGCTGTGCAGATGCAGAGGAAGTGCATAAATGCAGGATTAATGTTAGTCAAAAAAAAAAGATAGCTGAGATTCAGGGTTCAGAAGGAAATGATGAAGTGTCTGTAGTCCACGTCCTTGCATTAGCTTCGTTAATTATAGAAAGGCCACTAGATCAGCCTTTAGTGCCATGGTTGCAAAAGGAAACATCACTAATATGAAGCCACCAGCAACCCCATCTCTTGATTTGTGCTTCTTCATATTCAATGGAAATGAAATGTGTGGATGAGGGAGGAGTGTTAATAAAATAGAGTTTTACCAGTGGCGGATTTATTGTGTATAACTTTAAAGATGACCTTTTAAACAAAGTCTGTGTTCAATTGTCTTTGAGAGACCTGAAGAATGAGACACCTGTAAAATTTGTGTCTGTATGCTGTTAATGATATATACAATATCACAGAAACAAGGGCTGGATACTGAGGTGACAGTCCAGACAGTCTGTAGCTAAGGTTTCTAGACAGCAAAAACAGTATAAGGAAGTAGCAGAGAATATGTGTGCTTCCATCAGCTAGAGGATATACTAGGTCTGAGGAGTAAATAAAGAAAAAATCAAATGCTTGATAGCATTTTGTACTATTTTTAATGGTATTAAATCAAAAAAAATATATTAGTGCAACTGTCACTGGGGGCTATGATTGCCCTTATTCTTAGCTACATCTGAATTCTTTGTTTGAGGCATGCTCCTTATTATTTTTAGATTGGCAGTTGTTTTCCTGTGACAGGTCATGTAATTTGCTCTTGGTTCCTGGGCCCTCCCAACAAAAATAATAAGAAAAGTGATTCTAATAAACCACAGGCCCTCAAAAGTGTTTTCCTCATCATCTTGGTCTAGTAAATAGCAACAGATAACACAGGCTTGTAACTGAAGATTTTTGTAAGATAAAAACAATGCCAAGAGTAGCAGTATGATGTCAGTAAATGCTAATTATGAGCTCAGATAAAAAAGCCAAATTAAAATTGGAAATATTCTTACCCTTAAGATGTTTTTCCCCGCGTAAGACAAAGCCTGATTAAAAACGAAGCAATAGCTTTCTCCTTGTAGAAGTAGAGTGTTTTATGTCAGGAGAGCATTTTTCTGGTGCTTTGTGTGCATTCAGATGTTTAAAAATGGTTGTTAAAACTATGCAAAGGTTGCCTGTGTTATGCATTAGGCTCCTCCATATAGCAGATAGCAGCAACTATAGGGGCAGGCAGAGCATCTTCTCAAGGGTACTGGAGATGGCCCCTGTCTGCTTCAAGCCAGAATGACAGAGCAAGCAGTTTATTCAGTAACTATGGACAAGCAGGTTATCAATGTGTGGCCGTCGTGTCAAAATGTTGGTTAGAAGCCC